CATCAGTAACCACGCACGCACGCACGCACGCACACGCACACGCACACGCACACACACACACACACACACGAGCATGCACACACACACACGAGCATGCACACACACACTTGCATGCACGTCACTATATAAGTGCCATTCTTGAACGCGACGTTATATCCCATTAGGGTCGTGGGTGCTGTTTGTAAAATTCTGGACTAATGCCGGTTTTATAGTGCTAGCCCACTGAGATACCTTGCCGTAGTCTAAACATGAATACTACACACATTATTCTCCGAGCCGACCAGTCCTTGTTTTATCCCCCTAATGCCGAGCGCCAGGCAAGGTAACAATAAGTACCCTCTTTTTGGTATGACGCGGCCGGGGATCGAACTATGTAGACAAGAAGGACGATGAGTGCCCATACAAACTGTGTGACCATATGGTGTCAAAATTGTGACTAGTAGAGACCGGTTGAAAGACATGCTATTCCGAGGTTTCTTTTTACTGCAGAATGAGTGAGTGAATTTAGATTTACGCCGCTTTTACAAATGTACCAGCAATATCACGGCGGGGGACACCAGAAATGAGCTTCACACATTGTACCAATGTCGGGAATCGAACCCGGGTGTTCAGCGTGACGAGCGAACGCTTTAACCACATGGTACCCGACCGCTCTTTACTACAGAAACTGCAATCTACAATACTGGAATATACTGTTCACAGGGGCATTAAACTCACACAACTGCCGAATGCACATTCTACAAAGAGCAGATACTATACACACTAACAAGCAGTATCAGTTCCCTCTTATAACCTTAGGGGCGGTCGGGTAGCCTAGTGGTTAAAGCGTTCGCTCGTCACGCCGAAGACCCGGGTTCAATTCCCGACATGGGTACGATGTGTGAAGCCCATTTCTGGTGTCCCCCACCGTGATATTGCTGGAATATTGCTAAAAGCGGCGTACAACCAAACTCTCTCACTCACTCACTCACTCACTCTTATAACGTTATCTCACTCAGGCCATACCCTGATCACACTGAAAGTTAAAAGGGGGTTGTCACTGTTATTCATAGATATGTTATTCACAAAATGTACTGATTACAAAACTTAAATAAAAAATTTCAACAGAGTTGTTTAAACACGTTACTTTATTTTACCCCCACAATATAGCACGTGACATCTGTGTACATATGGGGGTAGGGAGGCGTTGTATTCCCACCCGAGAACCCCAGTGGTTGCTTTGCAGGATATTGAGTTCAACGTATTATATAGCCTATTAATGCTTGCTCTACCTAGAATAGTATTTTTTGTCTGCCTCATGTTGCATTTCCAGTTATTTGAATTTCAGCTTCACACGGAACAACACTACCCTCTCTCTGGCTACACATATAGATTGTATAGCCGTTACATTAAGTGTTGTTAGGCGATTATTCAATCCCCACACTGTCGCCTCCACGGACCACGCTCGTTATTGCGCTAACACTGTACATGACAGAAAATGTTAATAGAGTTGAATGCGTAGGTGCACACCACTACACACATTCAAATGGTTTAGATATTTAATTCATTCCGATTATTGCATTGCCACGTTAGTGCCTGGTGATATGGAATGATTACACAACATAATCAGAACCATGACATACTGGCCTGTAGATGTGGCCAATTATAGAATATGCACTTTGGCAAGGGCTACGAGATAGACTCTTACAATGTACATGATACGACCCATAGTCTCACATAGAAAGCTCACGTGACAGTATGTATGCAGTGTACTGCGTATTTACAACCCCATAAAACTGCAGTTTCGTGACATGGGAAATGTCTATTTCTGGCCTCACTAACTGCCAGGTAGGAGTAGACAAAAGCCGATATGGATAGATAATATCTAGATCTAGATAAGCACAAATAATATGGTATTTGATGTTAATTCTAAGTGGTGGAACCAACTTTTGTTTCCTCTGAAACAGTTCTTCAGAGGATGAAAAACGGAGTCATAAGCAGGATTGGAAGGATTAGAATGCAATTTAGCGATGTATTGAAGAGACAATTTAGTACGGCGTTGTTTCAAAGAAGATTCATCAGCTTCGACATAGAGGCTGTCAACAGGAGAAATTCGAAAAGCACCAAGACATAGTCTTAATCCTTGATGGTTGATTGAATCTAAGTGTATTGAATCTTGTGTAAGATCCAGCATACACAATGGTGTCATAGTCCAATTTAGAGTGGATTAATTATCTATTATCTAGTAATTATCGAGTGAAGGAGAGTTGTCCAATCCCTGCCCCAACTCTCAACAAATCTAGCGCCGTTAGGCATTTTGTCTTTAGATATTAAATATGGCGTAAAAACGTCAAATGGTGGTCGAAAATTAATCCCAGAAACTTGGCTTCTTTTACAGTCTTAATTGGAGTGCCATCTAAAAAATACCTCAGGATCTTTATGGGGATTATATTTTCCACAGAAATGTATACAATTGGTCTTGGTCTGTGAAAACTTAAAGCCATTCTTGAGAGACAATTTATTCTCTCATAAGCATATATTAACAACAGCATGAAATATTATAATCAACCATAAACAATGGACCATCAATTGAGTCATTTAATACTTTTGATAGACTTTTTATTTTAAACTGAACAATGTGACAGACAAAATACTGCCCTGTGGAACCCCCTGATCCTGATTATAAGATCAGACAGGGTTGATCCAACACAAACCTGAAATTGCCCGAGTGTTAAAAACAGCGACAAAAAATCATGCAAATCTTTTAAAATTCCATGCTTCCAAGTAGTATCATGAGATTTTTCCAGATATAGCTACATCATATTGTTTGTGGACCATAGAATTTTTAATGAATGATTCTAAACGAAAGAAATGGTCAATTTTACTTTGATTTTTTCGGAAACTGAATTGGATATCACTGATTAGATTGTTGGTTTCCAAACGATTAGTAACCATGAACTCTATGGTTTTACGAACCAATCTAGTTAACGACCTTGGTATAGGAACAATGATGGCATTTCTCAATGAAGGAGGAAATGTCCCCTTTCATCATCAAAAATAATCAGTAGCATTTCAATACAAGATTCAGGCAAGTGTTTTAAGAGCTGATAATGGATATCATCAGCTCCTGTTGCAGTATCATGAGCTTGAGCTGAGGCAGTGTGTAGCTCATGTAGTGAAAATGCTTCATTATAATCTTTGCCATTGTCAGAATTAAACTTCACTTTTTACCTCTCCTGTTGTTTTAGGTATTTCTGAAATTTTGGAATATAATTAGATGAAGAAGAGTGTTTTGTTAAAGTTTCACCAGATTTATTTGCAATATCAGATTTTGCAGTCAATAAATAATTGTCTTCTATGAGATGATGAATACTAGATTTGGAACCTTTGCCTTTGATTTTATTGATCCATTGACATAGGCGTGCGTGAGTTTATTTTGGAAACATAGTTTTTCCAACTCTGACCTTTATAGTGTTTTAAAGTTCGCCGAGCCTTGGCTTTATTGATTTTTATATTATTTGAATTATGAACAGAAGGATGATGTCAAAAGTATTTCTCTGCTTTCTTCCTACACTTCCTAGCTTGTATACAGTCATCATTAAAACCATAGTTTATGGATGTGTGGGCTCACAGAAGACTGAGGAATAGTTTCATCAGCTATATGTTTCTTTTTGTCATTTCTAATAACAGAACAAGAGGTGTAGGTGGTAGGTTTCAGCACCCCCGCCACCCCTGCCCCCACCCACCACGGTGTGTCAGCAAAGACATTGTTTCACAGCTGCTGATACCCAACATGCAAACACAAGAAATACAGGGGCGATATACTCCAGTAAATACGGCATGAACAGCTATGTTTGTCTACCAAATTAACATTAACAGGTTGGCCCGTGAGCCACCGCCTTCTGGCATAGGTCTCTAGGCAAACGTATTATTATAAAGCTTAACATTCAAAGCCCAAATACAATATCATGTAGAAAATTAAAGTAACAAGTTTCCAACACAGGGCTTGACATGACCAGCTGATTGACAGAACCCGTCTTTCCACCAGTCCAGGTGATGTTAGGGTCAAAGTTCCTAATCACAATTCCTGGAACAAAGGCCCTCAACCATATTACCTTCCTCCATCGACACAGGGGCGCAAACCCACGGCAAACGGGTTGCCTAATTTGTCGCCTTTTATGACAAGCAATGGGGTACTAAGGACACATTCTACCCCGGGTCCCCATGGGGAACAAAACAACAGTAATGTTCCAAAATGTATTTAATCACTCTGGGACATGTCAGGACATGTTCACCCTTTTTACGAACACCTTCAAAAGAAATGTATTTTAAATAAATACCCACCATTATTATTTAAAATGACATGTAAATATAACTTAGGAGGTAGGATATATATTATCATACATCTAGTGTGGATTTAATTAGACCCCAGTCAAATAAAAAAAATAGGAAGGTGTTGAGGTTTTTCCAAATTAGTCTGTGATTTACCCCATGTTTTTTCATATGTCATATTGACTTGAACCGAATGTTCCCGTGTAACAGAACACATATGAACAATTGACTTGCTTTTGCATGTGAATGTGATGGATGCCAATGTTGGTACAGGATAATCCTCGCAAACATCTGGTATCATAGGTATTTAATAGATTTATGATCACATGCTCATGATATAGTTGGAATTGTACAATGGTCATTGTATCTATTTGACAAAAAGATCTAAATACATTTGCTTTGATTTGCACATGATTTTATGTCATACACACAATCTTGGATCAGACTCAATGCATCTGGTTTTTATGTGACAACAAAATATATACCATTATATGTGTGTGATGGGAATATTTAAACAGATGGAAGGTAAACATATTCAGTACAGTATATAACACCCTGGTAATTGTAAGGACATTAATGAATAATGTCAGACCATCACAACAGATTCAAGATGGCGAGATCCACTTAATTAAAGAAGCTATTTTTGGTTATAATAAGAACAGAATTTTTATTGTCATATTCTTTTTCAGCATAATCTCTAATTACTGTCGATGATCAAGATCAATATGATATATCGCCATGAGTACAAACAGCCAAGGTAGGTATGATCTTATTTCCCTTTTATTAAAAATTCTGATGTTTCTGCTTCAATTAACCTTGAACGAAAGCACAAAACAATATGTGTTACAATCGATCCTGATCACTTACAATCAACTCTATGATAACCATAGTTAAAGACTGTAACAGAAAACATATAAACTAGTCTGGAACATTAACAATTTACCACTTCAAGGTGCTGCAAACACATCTGGAGAAGCTGAATCGACAATATCTGGAGAGGCTGAATTGGCCGTACCTGGAGAGGCTGAATCAACTACAGCTGGAGAGACTGAACCAACTACACCCAGACAGGCTGAATCGACTACACCCAAAGAGGCTGAATCGACTACACCCGAAGAGGCTGAATTGACTACACCCGGAGAGGGTGAACCGACTACACTCAGAGACACTGAATCGACTACACACGGAGAGGCTGAACCGACTACACCTGGAGAGGCTGAATCGACCACTTCCGGAGAGGCTGAATCCGAATCCGGTGAGTTACTATTTCTATCTCACCAGAACGAAAGCCAAGTGAGCTGTATAGATAGAGTTCTGGGCGTCTCTTAACATCTTCTCAGAAACCACCAGACTAAGCTGAATTGACACGTAATTGTGTTAAGATGTGCGAATCCAGCAGCCGCATTGAAATAAATATGTATGAGAACTACTCAGCAATTTGTGTTGAGCATTTCACTAACAGGTGTTACAATATCGACAAATTAATAACATCAACTGGGATCACATGCATGTGATTTGCATGTCTTGCAAAGAAACGTTCTCCACAGATTCAGTTTTAGTCAAGCCAAAATTAGTTGTGAAGGCCCTATTCTAGAGTATCTTTACTGGCATTTATCACCATGACCCCCAGTATTAGGTCATGTAGCCATGAGTTATGTGGTGGTATTGTTTTATAATTTTTTTAATAAATCTAATACTGCAGTTAAGCAGAATGAGCGCCCCCAGTTATCACCAAAGGTTTGTAAAAACCATGGCATGCATTGTAATATAAATTCCATGGCAACATGATTCAAAACCTATTTGTTCCTTATGTCTCACTTTTCAGTCGTCTTCTGTAAAGACATACGCAGCTGTGCATATTTATATTTGGTAAAAACCTAAAGAGAGCCTATAGAATCAATGTCATGGTGTCCTTTTCCACTGTGAAAGTGGGTAGTCATTAGCTATTATGATCTTATTCATGAAACTCAGGTCTGCAGAGAAGTAAGGATTTGTATTAATGTCTTCATTCCAACTGGGCAAGTATAAGCACTCCATTATATTTTGGCACAGATATATCATTCATGGATATTGTACGTGCGCTTCATTAGACATGCTATATGATTACCCCGTTGACTCGAGGGTTTAGAATCACAGAAGATATCACCATTACATATGTAGCTACAAAAACCGTTTCACTAATCATAAAGAATGTTTTACTAAAAGCATTGTATCGGTGTCGTGATAAGAAAGAGGAATAACTTACAAGGAACGCCACAGAATCTTTTCCACAATCATAAAAAAACCTCTGCTAAAGGCCTTTGTACGATTCCGACTACCAGAAATGTGTTTATGAATCAATATCAAGTAGTGACGGTACCAGGTGTTTGCGAAAAGGTGAGGGTGCAACCCGTCATATACACATGCAAAGACAAGTCAATTCTTCACCTAAAAACACGGGAACATAGGGAATGTCAAAATAAGGAAATGTATAGGACATTCTTTATAAACTCATGTAATTGTATATTCAGGTTACTAATTGGTTCCATTTTTGGCTTCCGCACAACAGTCTTACCACTTATAGCAATCAAGCGTGGGCAAAAAAATGTGGTACATATGTAAATAAACATAGAGACATGATAACAACTCGAAAGTTTGTTTTCAGCTATAGAAATATTTTGGCTGCAGCAACTTTATTTCAAACTTCATGTAGTCTCATTAATGCATTCACACAGGACTTATGAATGCAATGATGAATGTCTACGAGACCACCGCCTGTCTACTCCTTTAGTTGGTTATAAACAAAATCCAACAGGTTTAAGCTTCTTTTTGTCATCCCTAGTTCAATTAAATGTGTATACCATGAAACGGTTGGTTAAATCAATTATTTTCTATACACCACCAGTGTGAATGCCTAAAATAAAAAAATAGTTCCTGGTTATTTTAACTAAATTTTCTGCAATATCTTCTGCAAATACCCATCCCCCATCACACCACAAAAAAGAATGTTCGATCCCTAATCACTTTGTTTTGTTTCAGATTTATGCCGAGTGTGCGAGGAAGTTGATATTGAATATAAAAAAATCAAGCCTGTCAAGAGGTTGTTCTTGATCCATGGACATCGCCTTCTTTTCAAACAAGTACAAGATAAGATAAAGAAACACAAGCAAAAATCAGACAAGACACTGCTTTGCCGAGATATCTCCAAACGAGTGTCAGCTTTACGAAATGGCGGAGGAGGGGTTTTGATACTCCATGTTGATGGGACTGATACAGAAGATAGATGCCTTGAATATTTTGATGAACTTGTAAATGATACATTTACGCACTTGCTTGAACCGGGGGAAGTGTACACCGATACATATAAGCGAAAGCTGTTGTGTGAAATTGACCACTTTCAATGTTACACAGGGTTCATCGTAGTACATGTAAACTCTGTATGTGGTGTGGCCACTGTGGATTTTAATACAAAGATCCGCAAAGACCATGAAAACATAAACCCAACTTCTCTACAATTACTGTCTATTCTATCACATAAAGTGGAACCAGTTGCTTCCACAACACGTTCACTACAGGAACGAACCTTAAATGAAAATAGATCCATTGAATTAAAGTCACATATGCCACTGCTTTCTGAGAGTGACGTTAACACTATCGTGGACCGTGTTTGGAATCATTTGAAGCTCAAAGATATCATAACGTCTATGTCAAAACTTGCTGAAGGAGGATCTTATTATTTAGGAATAGAAGAAAAAAAGCATTTGTTTAACAAGGGGAAACATGAAGAATATGAATCTAAAGTGCCACAAAGCAAAGGCTTTTACCCAGTTAACCGTGAAGTTTTAACCAACAAGCTTCGCTTCAAAGTTCAGAATGATATGTGTGTACTCAACCAAGACTGTACTTTCAGCAAGGCACCTTCAGATCTTATATGTATCCAATTCCATAAGGTTCCAAAAGATGACAACAGATATGTGTTAGAAGTAGCTGTTCGTTACTTTGAAGGCATTGTGTTCCATGATAAGCAAGGACCCAGAACCTACACAATTAAAGACAACATAATCAAGAGAATGAGTGGACAGGAATGGCTAACACGATTATGTGCCATAGCAGAACGATGCCATGAGCAGACCAGATGGTTAAGAAATAAACCAGAAAACGGAAACTAGGAATTGGCCATGGTGATGAGTGTATGTCAGGACTAATCACTATAAACTATTGGTACCTACACATTAAGAATTTGTTCGCAATGAGTGACACGGATTCCGTTCCATCAAGCCTTGATAATGAGACTGAGCTTGATGATAGCATTGCAAGTTCACTAGGCTCAAGTCCTTATGTATCAGATGAAGCCATGATCATCAATTCTTGTGCCAAACCTGATGCATTTTACAGTTCCGACGATTTAGATATTGTCTCTTCAGGTACTGTATCAAAACCCTTCTGACAATGATAATATAATATTTGCAAACAAGTATCTACATTTGAAACATCATAAAGGAACAGGGGCCGTGGGTGGCCCAGTCGTCTAAGGCGCCGTGATTCGCTGTGCAGAGTTGCGTCCCTTGGACCCGCCAGAAACCTATGATTGTAGATTCGAATCGCGGTTCGCCCCGATGATGTTTCTAGGTTTGTCAGCACCACATCTGTGCTCGTGGGTTTCACCAAAATGGTAAACGTCTGAGACCTGCATCACTTCGGGCTTTCCTCCCACATTAATCTAAAACGCCGTGATATAACTGGAATACTGTTAAAAGCGGCGTTAAACCCAACTCACTCACTCACTCATAAAGGAAGATAATATATATTTTATATTACTAAATTTGAAGTGGTTAATGAGTGATAACCACTTCTAACCGCACGACTGCAGTGAACACGTACAATTCCGTTTAAACAAAACCGCATTTTAGTCATGGTAGAATGGAGATACACCTGTTTTGTTTCTAAATTTTGATAGCCAAAATGTTATTAGCGGTGTTTAATCAACGAACCCACATCAAAATTCAAAACAGAAAAGGTTTTTCTTCTACGTGTACTGTGTTTAACGAAAATGATTGATGTGGAGATGTGACATGGATGGAAAAAGACAAACACATGAGAAAATACTTATTTCAGGTTGCAGATGGGAAGTCAAATCCTTGCAACTAACCCAAGATGAGCAGATCAAGATTTTGACAAAGAGCAAACCTGCAGACAGGAGTAACATTTCACCAGGTAAATATAGACTGTCAGTGCAAGAGAATATCCACCCTAAAGACGTACACATTCTGACACGTTTAATGATATTACATACTACATACTCACAGTTAGATACACTATTTGGACATCTGATGCTTGTTATTTTCTATTTGTTCTAATGCACTTGATATGTTTGATTTTGTGATGATTAATTGGAATAAGCAGGCACAAAAAAGACTCATGGCATAGGGATCATTTCATAGTACCTATATATGAACCAATAATTATCTCAATGGAAACAGAGATATGTTAGAACTGACTTTTGGCTGATCGACTAAAACATATATCAGGTAATTTTGATGGCTGACGGCACTTTTAATTCATTCATATATTTTTAACAAACCAAATGATCATAACGTCCATGACAATGGAGAAAGTTTCATGTAATGTTTGTTTGCAATAGTCCGGTCTGTAAATAATCGAGTCTGGACAAACCAGTGATTGACATCATGAGCATCGATCCACGCAATTGGGATTCGGTGACATGCAACAAAGTCAGCGAGTCTGACAACACGATCCCGTTAGTCGCCTCTTACGAAAAACATAGTCGCCTTTTACGGCAAGCATGGGTTGTTGAAAGAAAACTTTATGGATAACAACTTCTGGTTGAAGATTATTCCACAGTTATCAAGCTTTTTTAAAATTTTGTAATAACTTCATTTCTTTAAATTTTAAATGAATATGGAATGCTTCAACATTGTTAAACAGGACAGATTAACTATAGTAATATGACAGAATTGGATGTTCTTAAGTTCTTTTATGTAGCATATAGGACTAATAACAGTGTCTTTCAGTTACGAAATATGAGGCACAAGAATACATAATCCCGATCTCATAGTTTTCCCCCGATATTTCGACCCGTGAAGATCCGGGGTAGAATAGGTCTTTAGTAACCCAAGCTTGCCGTGAAAGGCGACTATGCTTGTCGTAAGAGGCGACAAACGGGATCAGGTGGTCAGGCTTCCTGACTTGGTTGATGCATGTCATCGATCCCAATTGCGTGGATCGATGCTCATGATATTAATCACTGGGTCACTGGTCCGGACTCGAATATTTACAGACCGTCGTCATATAGCTGTAATATTGCTGAGTGCGACGTTAAACAACAAACCAACCAACCAACCAACCAAACCTTGATATTTCAGACGTTTACATCATCACAAAAAATGTTATGGAGGAGGCACTGAAGAAACGAATAATTGCATTTGTGGATGGACTCAATGGGTGGGTGTACATGGCGCCTTCATTAATGCCGTTTCTAGATGCAGAGGGGTGGCAGATGCAAACGGCAACACGCCTGTGTGATGCATGTATTGTCACGGACTCCCAGCCAATGCGAGTTCTGACATTCACGGTGGGAGAAGACAAACACGGGCGTTCTTTACAATACAGTGCACAGCTGGCCAGAAGAATCATGTATCACATTGAAGAAAACGCCGGACTGTCTGTCAGTGTAATACATGGTGTGATAGACGAAGATGCTTGGAAGAATGAAGAGCTGTTTATGACGAAGACAAAAGAATTTGAATACATGGCCAGGGAAGAATCCTTTGCTCAATCCCTTCGCATGACTTTCGGGAAATACAAGTCCATCACAGATACATTGTGTGTAATGTTTGGGGCAGCAAGAACGGAGGTAACCGAAATGCATTTAAAACTCGTAACGTATAAATCATATATGATAAATGTACTGGGTTTTAAATGTAGGTCTATTTCAGATGAAAGGTCAATCAAAACTGATGGTAAAATATGTTTTTATTGAATACATGGCACTTCTATCTCCATTCTGATATAGTTTGAACAGCTTTTAGTTCAGATGACTGACTTTGGGTTTTTCAGTGATATTTACAATATAAACCTGTGTACTTTGACCATACTTTTCAAATGATCTCAAAATAAATTTCTGGCTGTGTGAATATCTTCTCATCTGAAACCTCCGAAGCTTTAATGAAGCTAAGATTTCTTATCATCACATCTTATTTTGTTCAAACCATTGTGATTTTGGTATTTGTTTGTATTTTTAAAAATATTAAAGAGTAAACTTGAACAAAAATCTGAAATATTGCGTGAACACGGTTTGTTCTATGCTTCATGAAAAACATCCAACTTCGTTCTTCTTTTTCTTGACCACCTCCGTGGTCTAGTGGTAAAGCGTCCGTCCGGAAAGCAGAAGGTCCAGGGCTCGATCCCCGACCGCGTCATACCAAAAGACGTTAAAAGATGGTACTTGTTATTACCCAGCCTGGCGCTCGGCATTAAGGGGATAAAATAAGGACTGGTCGGCTCGGAGTCAGTATACTGTGTCTGAGTGGGGTATTCATGTTAAACTGCGGCATGTTATCTCAGTGGGCCAGCACTATAAACTCGACATTAGTCCAGACTAGAACAAGCAGCCACACACACACCAACGTGCATGCAATAAACTTGGACGCGACGTTAAGCCCCGTTTCCCCTCACCTTCTTTTTCTTAGATTTGCTAAAACTCGACATAACTCCATGTTTCTGTAGCGGCCATAAAATTTCCGAGTCCCGTGATGGGATTCGAACCACGGACCTTCTGATCAGAGGACGCACGCCTTGTCCACATGACCAAAGAGGTTAACCCCGTCAGCAAGCTGACAAGGTAAGGATGTCATTGGTCGGATGACTCCTAGTCCTGCTACATACTTCCCCGTCAACAGAAGGCACGTCCCGGGCCGCATAGTAGGGTACTGAGGCTTATTTTGCTCAAATTTAATATGAACGTGCTCAGCCCCACGTTGGGCGCCAATGTAGCGGCCATAAAATTTCCGAGTCCCGTGATGGGATTCGAACCACGGACCTTCTGATCAGAGGACGCACGCCTTGTCCACATGACCAAAGAGGTTAACCCCGTCAGCAAGCTGACAAGGTAAGGATGTCATCGGTGGGATGACTCCACGTCCTGCTACATTTCCATAACGAGTGTTATAAAATGAATAATTTAGTTTTAAAATTATTTAGAATATTTTCAATTCCCTTCAAAAACCACAAAACCAAGATAGTAGTGGTATCATTGTTTGGATGAAACGAATACTCTGTTTCTCTCAAATGTCATAACTTCAGTGGTCAAGGTCGTTAGATTAATGACGCTCATTGAAATGTCCTGCTCCGAGGTCCTGCTACGAAAAAGGATATGCATGTAGTGCACGACCTTTCTAGCATCTGAATTATTTTTTATGAAAGGTATCGTTTCTTTTGTATGACCTTTCATGATACTCATCCTTTATTGACTTCTTAGCTCTGAATAGCGATCAAATGTATGTTGGGTATTCATCATTATTATGTCGGCTCTTTGAGACTAAGTGTCACCGTGCATACTATATGATTTTATGATTGTGATGTAGACATCAATTTTGATGTGAGTTGCCCCTTTACCTGTGCTTCATCTCTAGTATAGTGGGTACGGATGGCTGGATTCGCTGTGCAGAGTTGCGTCCCTTCAGAAACCTATGATTGTGAGTTCGACTCCCAGTTCGCCCGGATTATGTTTCTAGGTTTGTCAGCACCATACCCGTGCTCATGGGTTTTACCGAAACGTCTGAAAACCTGCATCACTTCGGGCTTTCCTCCCACATTAAGCTGACACGACGCGATATAATTGAAATACTGTTAAAAGCAGCGTTAAACCCAACTCATTCACTCACTCATCTCTAGTATGACCATGATTCGCATTATTCCCGACACAGCGACCATCATGAAATCTGATTTCGATGGAGATATATTGCCATTATCTAAGACCTCTGATTGACGGTTACGTTGCTTGCCTTCTTGTGCGTCCAAGGAAAATGCACGACAAGACGGTATCGAGAATTACACAGGTTATGCTTCGTTCATGCAGTCGCGCAATCATACAAGTCATGCGTAATCATTGCATAGTACGGTAGATGGGGTAGTCGTTCGACTATGTCAAAATGCAATTTCAAAATGTTGAATTTAAGATTTTCCTTCAACATCACAACTCACTTCAATTGAATTCAAATTGTTATTATTCCCTAGCACTAACTTTCCTCCTTCATCTGGTCGTTACACATAATCCTGGTTCTGCGTTGGTAATTAGACTATCTACTTCTTGACGTTCTCTTTTGCAAATACTCCTGCGTGGATTCTAGGTTAGAATATGTCCCAACCAACCTGTGCAAGGCGACTAAGGTATTTGTGGTAAAGTAGGGCTTGAGTAGGGCCTCAGTTTGTGTACGTGGAAAATGTCCTTGCCCAAGCTAGCCAAATACTCAACCATGCTGATAGACTCATCTTCAGGTGAGCTCTACGAAGTGTATCAGCAAGATCCTTTTTTTGTAGTTACATCAATTTTTTATTTCTGCATCCTTGGCATATTGACAGGTTGGAGCACTCAACAGGTCCTTCAACGTATGGACTCCTGTGGTTTGTCGTCAGATAATAAACGCCCACCTTTCTACCATAAGGAATCAAATTACTGCATACAAAAAGCAACAGCAAAACGTTTCCTTTACAAACTAGATTAGGACGCTCAGGCTACATGTTCATCATTTATATTCACCAGAGGTATTTGAGATTGGTGGTTTACATCACTTGAAAGTTACGAATACAAAATGAAACTACATTTCTGTGACCCCTGAACAACCAATCAGTAAATGTAAAATGCTATCTGACATTTGTCACATGTTCAAACACACACATATGTATTTCGGAGTAAAGGAAATCATTGATCTGTTTTCATCAGAGCTATCGTATGGTTTTTTTCAGGAATTACAAACCGCAGTTCTGTCTTTGCCTCCTGTGAAACAACATATAGGTCAGTAGCACCTTTTTTTATTTAATATTCTGTTTGGTATTTTCAAAATAGTGTCTGTTCTTTAACATAAACAAAATGGAAAATGTATTGTTAACCTCAAAACGAAGGTGACACCTGTTGAAGATCGTTTCATGTCGTCACCAGTTAAAACAAACAACCCAAAAATACTCTCAGCAGATGTTAAGCATTGTATTACCCTTTTTACGAACATCTGGTATCCTCACTGATTTTCATATAATTTTCACCGCCATTTTGCCTTTTACGCCCAGTTGAATCTGTTTCGGCAGATAACTAACTATTCTTTTGCGTTGACGTTTCATAATTAGTTTGGTGTGCAAAGCCTACACCGACGGATAAAATATATTTTTTTCTATTTCTAGGTGCAGAGGAAATAGAAAGCCACTTGGAAACGGTAAATTTCAAAATACAAATTTTGGTAGATAACGATGAGAAACTTAAGGAAATTAATGTTATTGAAAGGATTGTTTTTGCAAATGTCCCCAAACATGCTTTCAACGCAGGTTAACCACCCCATATTATTTCTTGATTGTCCAATGATCCTTGTTTCCAGTATACACGATGTCTCTCCTTTTAGAGGCACAGATAGTCAAGCGAATTAAAGTGCAACAACTTACCATGCAGAGGTGTTTCATTTTAGTTCCATGATAAGTTAAATGCTTTTTCTTGTCCAAAGATAATTGTCACTGTAGACCTTTTCTCCAACATTTAACCCTATCATGCTGTGATATAAATAAACTACTGTCTAACGTTACTTTCCTTAAGCCATTATGTTACTTTGTATCACCGGGTGGTGTGTTTGCTATTTGCTGTCCCGTCCTACTTGCATAGATTCTTTTGCTTGTCGATATTGGATGTAGAGAGACGGAAGTTGCAATCAATACCTAGCATATAATAACCAGAGCTACACATCTTTGTGTGCTTTGTTTGTTGTTTAACGCCACACACAGCAATATTCCAGCTATATGACGGTGGTCTGTATATAATTGAGTCTGGACCAGATAATTCTGTAATTGACATCATGACCATCGATCAATTGGTATAAAAGTATGGGTTGGTGAAGAGTGGAGACTAATTCTAATCCGGGTCTTCATGGAGGAACTACAGCGATTTATTCTACACTTCTAAGTGATTTTTCAAGGACAAATCATTCAAAAACAATACCTTTTCTATCGATATGCCATTTGTTGTTTTATAGGATATATGTTTTAAAGAAAAAAGATTCCTTCAAAGGCACATCAATTTTTTACTGTTCAGTTTCTTTTGATATGTTATTGTTATGCTAACCTACCCCAGTTTTACATGGTTGGTTCATCTGATAAACTGTACTTGTAATAATATTTTATCAGAATTAACCTTATAACTAATAGAATATATCTTAACACTTTAGAAGCAGACCGGCAATCACCTTTCCCATATGTTCTGGACAAAAGTTTTAACAGGGCGGGTGTACCTCTTGAAACTAATTTTTGTTTCATTTGTTTCAGAGGCTAACTCCTAAGAAGCTGACAGATCACCACCTGACCTGTGCCATCTGTACAGAAGTGTTCACGGACCCTGCCACACTTCGGTGTAACCACACATTCTGTAAGTCCTGTCTGCTAACATACAACAAAACACAGACTGAAGCAATTCAAGCCAAGTCCATCACATGTCCCTGCTGCAGACAAGTTACGAAGCTGGCCACCCCTGACAGTCCAGTAGAGGAGTGGATCTGTCAGCTGAAGCCAAGCCATGTCATACAAGGACTGATGGACGACTTCGGACCGGGGACACATGGTAACTTCATTTTGACTTTATTGAGTATAAACAGTTTCATAATTGCAAAATGCCATGACAGAAAACAATGAAATCCATTTTTGACGAATATAAACATAGATAATAGGTTTTAGTTGAACATTCAATAGTATGTATGGGAACACCATGTCCAGTCACAAACTTATAATTATTTAAATGTAATCTCATTTCATATTGGTACCAGTTGTTTGATTTGCCCTATCACGTTATAGTGAACAACACTTTAAATGACATTAAGCTAATGTGTGTTATTATCCAGCTTATTACATGAAATGCATTGAAACATTAATGTGACTTGCAGGTACCATGGTAAAGGTCTGCTACCTTTGCAACAAACAAGAACAGGAAACAATTGCCACACAGTGGTGTTCCATCTGTGATGCTGTCTTTTGTGATAATTGCATCGCGATTCACAACATGATGCCAAAGCTAAGTGATCATGAATTAGTTGAATTGTCCAATCCGATCAAAATAAAAGGCAAACGCCGCCTCATGTGTAAGAGGCACAAGGACAAACAGATAGAGATGTTTTGCAAAGATTGTAAAGCGGCCATTTGTCAGATGTGCTCCAGTATTGAACACAGGCAGTGTGATAATATTGTTAACTTAGACAATATGACACCTCTTGTTAAAGAGAAACTTACACGCCGAAACACTGAGCTGAGAAAACACATAACAGCAACAAACAATGAAATCACCAGGAGCAAATCACAACTTCATGACATAAGAACAAATGCAGATGACGTGAAAGATAAAATAGCAAAGGCAGGGAAAGGAGCTATTGAGACGATTACGAAGGGAGTAAAACAGCTCACCGAACAGGTTGATAAATCATCTAATGAACAAATACAATATTTACAAGCAGATCTAAAATCTCAGGAGATTCAGCTGCAGGTTCATATGCAGGAGCATGCTTTCGCGGCCAGTGCTGTGTCGTCCAACTGTAACGTCGATATGTAAGCCATCTATGAGTCTATGGACGTTGTATCGACAGACAAAATATGCACAGATGTGCCCAAGACAAAGAGACCACTGCCTGGAAGAGTGATATTCACACACAACATGGACAAGATAGATATGAGAAATATTGGAACTTTTTTAGGGGAAGTCATTGTTGTTGACGATGTGAGTGACCCACAGTGTTCCCCTGTTGTACACCAGACTATTAACTTTAAGGAAGATGATGATGAGGATAACCCGTCTCTCATTGACATCACTGTGTTGTCTGTTGATAGTTTGAAAGTAATCGTGGTAACAGATGTTGTACACAACAGACTCAAAACATGGTACGTTTCAGAAGCAAAACTCTACCATGAATATTTACAGTTTACTTCTTTACCTCAAGGTATAGCAAAGTTAAGCCAGGGACAGATTGCTGTAAATATTCCATGGGACCATGAAATAGTTATTGTGAAGGTTTATCCATGCCTTTGTAAAATGTCAACTGTCAAAACAAACAAACCATACTCAACACTAGCATCGCTGAGTCCTTCCTTTCTGGTGGCAGGTACACATGGAGAGTCACATTCTATTGAAATACTGGACCGGACAGGGTACACACTGGAGTATATCAACACGGGTTCGATATGCAACCCAAAGCATATCCATGTAACTAATATGGAGAACTTCATAGTCACTGGAGAAAACGTTCATACCGTTGTTTCAGTAACCAGGAACGGAGAAGTTGTTTTCGAGTGCACTCAAGCAGGTGAGAGAGCTTTCAGGAGTCCTATGGGTATCACAGCGACCAGCACAGGAGATATTCTACTTGCAGAAGAACACAAAGTGATTCAGCTCACAGAGTCAGGACAGTTTCTGAGAGACGTTGTCACAGAACAGGATGGTATTGAGAATGTGTGTGGTGTCTGTCTGGATGAAGATGGCTTGCTATATGTCACCTCTGGCAGATATGTGAAAGTATTCAAATTTGAACGGAAGGTCAACTCTGAATAGTGAAATTAATGTTACAATTTAGAAAACACACTACGCCGATATTGAGATGTACAGTTGACGAGCCTCATTTGTCAGATTTTATCGTCAGTTAAAGACGTTGGATACAACAGTTCGTGCGCACCTCAGTTGACGCGAGTTTACTGTGACGAATTACCTCCCTTGACGCACCCTGTCTTCTACATAATTGGTGGTAGAAGCAACGAGATGTCCGTTTATGATTGTGGAAACCTGCAACGTGTACCTTTGCTATCTTCCCCAAACATGAGCCGATAAGTAATAAAAAATAACTTTTCCAATGCATCTCTGCACTTTCAGATTCAGTGGGAAAACAGTACGTAGGGTTCCTACACCCTACTGTATTAACTCGGCACATTTTATTCTCCTCCCTGAATTTCCAAAATATTAGTTCTTTCTGGGGTTTTTTGTACGAGAAGCATAGTCATTTGTGATTAATTAATTGCTATTAAGGGATAAACAGAAAAGCATTGTAGAACATCAAACATGTTATATCTCAACAATACTCAATGACAAGCATAACATGTGCTTGATTATATGTAGATAATGAGTTATCTCCCTTTTCAGATATCAGGTTTGACACCAATAGCTTTCTTTGGGCATGCAAATACTCAAAATTTTGCGTGGAGACCTACATATTTTTTTCTTAATTTGTGTTGCTTGGTGCATATTGTACGTTATTCGTGAAAATGGTGACTCTGTAGTGGGTTTTGGTCTTCTAAATAACAATTTACATGAGTACTTGCTCCTTTGATACCCAAGCAACATTAAATATGTTGCTGTTTTCCTTCGATTGTTTCTATTTTTGGTCCTTTTTTCACCAGACTTGTTTGTAGTTAACAAACTTAAATAGTAATAAATAGAACAAAGTAAGTTTAATTACACTATTAGGTTAGTGTGTTTTAAGGAGTCAGCTTTTTTGTTATGGTGATGGTAAATCATGTCATTTGAGGCCTACCCCACTATACGTGGGTGCCACCTACAACAAAATATAGCATGGAAAGGTATTATTGTGTTTTTATTCGGTACAAGTATACTTTATACTCTCTTCATGTTACATCTCAGAGCGTTGTAGTGGAGTCCACTTATTGTGTCCAACATCTTTCACAAGCTGACATCTGACGCTATACATTTCAGAAGACATTTCGCCGATATTTCAGTGTAGCAAACATCGCTGATGTGTCACATTACTACAATGAGTCATGGATTATACTGAGCATCTAATTTGCTCAATTAATTATTCATTGCTCATGCACTTTGTCAATCAAAATTGGAAAGTATAAGAGCTTTTGTATTTAAGTAGGTTGTGTAGTATTTGTTGCTGCAGATCATACATTGTTTAATTGTCCCTAAAGTTGTAGGCATTTCGCATCAGTAATCTCACGATGTTGATTGGTAATGAGATTTATTGAGATGGGGTTTCTTGTTGTTTGAAGTGCTGTAGTAGACATTAGAGTCTGTTCATATTATTGTTGTATGATGTAGCCTGCCTTATGTAACCTCTCATGAGTGCGTATTGTTGTTTTTCCGGCACACTCAGCAATATTCCAGTTTTATGTCGGAGAAACTTCTCAAGAACGCGGATATTGCGGATGTGCTAGTGTTCCAGTGGAGTTTTCTTCAGAAGCAAGGGTCTAAACTTATTGTCTTTGTCACCTCTGAAGCCAATCAACTGGTGTAGAATTCTGACACTTTAATATTCATTTTGTGTCCTGTTACCTTTCATGTTTGTGAACCACTGTGTCATCTCAAGTTCCGTTTATCACCTTTATGCATATTCTAGGGACATATATATAATATATCAGTTTTTAATGCCTTTATTTGAGACGGTTAAGATGAAATCAATACTTAAGACGCATATGTGGAGACGTGTTTTCAGCTTGGGGTATCTTTTACTGTACCTAATGTCAACATATTTTAGGGGGCACGGGTGGCCCAGTCGTCTAAGGCGCTGCGATTGCAGTGCAGAGTTGCATCCATTGGGCACGCCAGAAACCTATGATTGTGGGTTCGAATCCCGGTTCGCCCCGATTATATTTATAGGTTTGTCAGCACGATACTTGTGCTCGTGGGTTTCACCGAAGTGGTAAACGTCTGAAACCTGCATCACTTCGATCGGGCTTTCCTCCCACATTAATCTGACACGCCGTGATATAAATGGAATACTATTAAAAGCGGCGTTAAACTCAACTCACCATTCAACATAATTTACTACTGCAAAGTACATAAATTGCAATTGTCAGATTCGCATGGTCCAAGTTTGCCCATGTATATGATCAACCCAAAAGCAGTTATTAAAAGAAATACATGTTTAAACTTTCAAAACATTATTTATTTCCACTGTCATACTGCATGTATTGGTAATGGGTGTTGGTTCTTTTTTTACCTGACACAGAGATCATTCTCCGCGCTCACTAACGGCGACTATTTCTTGATTGGTTGAGGGTGTTGTGGTGCATGATTGCGCTTAACGATGTCGATGAGTTCGTATTGTTGTGTACTTTTTGTGTTAATGATGAAATAAGCAATCTGTAAAGCTATTTTGTTGACATATATTTTTATATAGAATAGACGTTTACTGAGTAATAAACGTAGAATCACACTACGTTGGGGTACCTTTTACTGTACTTAATGTCCACATATTTCCGTCGGGGGCACGGGTGGCCCAGTCGTCTAAGGCGTCGCGATTTGCTGTGTAGACTTGCGTCCATTGGGCACGCCAGAAACCTATGATTGCGGGTTCGAATCCCGGTTCGCCCCGATTATGTGTCTAGGTTTGTCAGCACCATACCCATGCACGTGGGTTTCGCCGAAGTGGTAAACATCTGAGACCTGCATCACTTCTGGCTTTACTCCAATATTAAGCTGACATGCCGTGATATAACTGGAATACTGTTAAAAGCTGTGTTTAAACCCAACTCACTCACTCACTCACTCATTCACTTTTCGTAAATCCGCTACGTGTATGTATGCTGCATGCATCCCGTTTTTCACCTATACGTCCATAAACGCAAAAACGCATTGAAGTCAACTCTTAAGCAGTTTCATTCTTGCATACTTAGCAAACAATGACTCCACTGTCTATGTATATCTTGTTTGGGGGCACGGGTGGCCCAGTCGTCTTAGGCGCCGCGATTCGCTGTGTAGAGTTGCGTCCCTTGGGCACGTCAGAAACCTAAGATTGTGGGTTCCATTTCCGGTTCGCCCTGATTATGTTTCTAGGTTTGTCAGCACCATACCCGTGCTCGTGGGTTTTACCGAAGTGGTAAACGTCTGAGACCTGCATCACTTCGGGCTTTCCTCCCACATTAAGCTGACACGCCGTGATATAACTGGAATAGTGTTAAAAGCGGCGGTAAACCCAACTCACACACTCACTATACCTTGTTTACCAAATAGGGGAGACGTTTAGGCGCGAGCATGGACAGTGTCTCAATAAACTGAAGATTCCTTATGGTATTGTCATTCTGGTAATCTGCTTCACTACTTCACTTGACCCGTGAAGATCCGGGGTAGAATGGGTCTTCGGCAACCCATGCTTGCCGTAAAAGGCGACTATGCCTGTCGTAAGCGGCGACTAACAGGATCGGGTGGTCAGACTCGCTGACTTGGTTGATGCATTTCATTGATCCCAATTGCGTGGATCGATGCTCATGATATCAATCACTGATTTGTCTGGTCCAGACTCGATTATTTACAGACCGCCGTCATATAGCTGTAATATAGCTGAGTGCGGCGTTAAATAACAAACCAACCAACCGACTACTTTACTTTATATAGAAGAAGAAAATGTCTCCATGCAAATTGTTATGTGACTGGGTATATAACTGAAACAATATTGATGTCTTGTTGCAAAATATATAGAATGGTTCATGAATGTTCATCGAGGAATTCCTACTCGTGCGTAGTCCAGGAGTGAGTGAGTGAGTATGGTTTTACGCCGTTTTCAGCAATATTCCAGCAATATCACGGCGGGGGACACCAATTTCACGGCATCGA